GGGACCACACCACAACTTGTCAAGTCGTTTTGTATGGGATGGTGTGAATACTTCTGACACAAAATTTTGTTTTAGCTTCAGTTTGGAAGGAGTATAAATGCAAATATGTACAGTATAATTATATATAATATAAGATTTTGTACTCTATAAATTTGTATTTGTATTCCTTCCAAACTGTGCCTTAGGAATTTATTGCCAAACTATACAAAAATGATTGCATCTACCATGGCGTGGATTAGTCCATGAGATTTAAGTGTGGACAAAAAATTGCGACATGACCCAGTTCAATCCACGCTATAGTGTAAGAACGCTCTTAATTTACATTGTGGTATAACGCTATTTTGAAAATGAGCCATATTACTGAACAACCCCTTTGTGTCTCTCCAAATATGGAGGCATARGATCAAACCCATGAAACCAATAGGACTGTCAATGGGTCAGGTCTAACCCAACAGACTCATGGGCATTTTGTTGTAACATTAGTGGACCACACGTACACTATACATATTATCCCCACCCCTTTTCCCTTATAATGTGTAATACATAATACCCCCAAAAAAATTCCTCCCTTTTAAAGGAGGTGTGAATGCAAGCCCATGAAAATAAATGCTCTTTCAATTGTGAATGCCAATTTTGATCACACATGCATGCCTATTACCCTCCTTTTAGAAGGTACAAATGTGAACCCTTAAATTGTGAATGCCAATGGGCCCTATTTACATCCCTATTATCATGGCATTGGGACTTGGTTACTCGTAAAACAATGTAATGGGCTATATAACCAATGACGAATGCACACATTAGTGCACTTTTCAAGCATCAGATCATGGAGTCATTACCATGAGCCACTAACATTCTAACCAAGTCTCTAGCATAAGGAACAAAACATGGGGTTTCAGGAAAAAAAGTTCTTGAAAGTGATACAACTACTGTATCAACTTTGTCATATTGTTAAAAGTTTCATTGCATTTGAGTATGGTGCTTGGTGACATATTGATGAGATAATACATAGAAAGAAATAGTAATAGAAACTAGGCTATTTTACGGGGTGTTTGGCATGCCTTTCAACGTGGTCTTTTGGCTGTTTACAAGTTGAATAGATCGGAATTCGGTTTATTTTCCATTTGGCACATGGAAGATCTATTTGTCAAAAAACGGAATGCTGAAAAAACGCAAAAATCCCATTTTGGACTAATTTCGAGAAGCTCCAAATGGAGATTTTCATGTCTTTTGCATTTTATGCTCGTGTGGGAAGACGCGGAAAGACACACAGAAAGACATGCGTCTGTCAAACGGTCTTTGAACTGCCCAGATCTTATATCAAAAGCTCAATACATCTTTTAACTATCAGAGCTACAAGAATATCTTCTCAAAAAGACTTACCAAATGGACCCTTATTTTATTCTTTATTTTCATTTTATTACAAAATTCTTTTTTTTTCCATCTTAATATTGAATCCTTTTTAGATGTGAATCCATTTTATAAATCACTCTAATTTTCTTTTTTTTTTGTTTTCCTCACTCCCATGCATTGCATAGTTTATTTGCTAGTTATGGTAGTATACACAAAGAACCTTTAGGCCATATAGATATAGGTATATTGCCTCTTTTAAACCATGGGCCAAATAAAGAGGAATATTCAAAAAGCGTTGGCCCTCAAAAAGTGTCACCACACTCCAGCCACAAAAACCAAAAAAAGGGTTCACAAGCTCCTTAAAATATCCTGTAAATTAATATTCATGGGATGGGTAAATTAGTACATTTGCATGACCTTGAATAATCAAAATTCTTCACATTTGTGTTCCCATGTGAGGCTTCTTGGTCAATCCACGGTCAAATTAGGCCATAAAAAAAAAATTGGAGGCCCATTAATAGCCAACATGAAAGACAGAGATACCTCTGATTTAGGGCGTTAAAACGAACTATAGTAGAATATTCCTCACGTTTAACTGGATTTTGATGATTGCCACGTAAGCAACAACTCACAAACCACTGAATCATTTAATACAAGTTTGATTTTAATCTTTGTTAGTAATTAATTAGTACTTAGTGTAATTAATTATTTATGCATCTGTGACAGCATTTAATTAATAATATATTTGCTCAAATTGTTCTGTCTCACTAGATTAGTTGCTTGAGGTGGTTGGATTAAGAGGGGGCCCACAATTGGTTGTCAGTTGTCACAAAATCAACATTAGTGGCTCAGTTGCAATTTGGGTCTGATCAAATCTCAGCCAATCTAGACCCTTTATTTGTGGACCACCACCTTAATATATGCTTTTGGAGATTATAGTCAACGGATACTAAGCTTAATAGCATGTGGTAAGTGCATAATTGTTCGATCCGGTGTTATTAAGATTTGGGTCAGGCCGGCTGGTCGGACCCTAAAACCGAAAAACCAGTGGCCTTTTTGGTCTCGGTTAAATGACGGTTTACTTGAAGAATTCGGACTAGCTGAACCACGCCAGTATTTAATTTATGGGCCCCACGTTCAGTTAATCCGAATTTTGGTCCTTCTTTGTGGTGGGCTCACTTGGGCCCCCGGGAAGGCACCCAAATCTCGAGGTGGACAAAGGATTTCTGAATTCTGGGTGTGGTAGTGGAGGCTTAACTGGCAAAGATCCGGGAGCACCCAACCCTATACTTGTCCTATCGAAAATTTGAATCCACGTGACAACTCTTAAACGGAAACATCCCCCGGTTCTGTATTGTAAAATCCGGCCAGATGCCGAACTAGTGGTTAGGGTTGGATGGTTAATCCGGTCAGACCAGCCCTCGAGTCAACTAGTTTTTTACTAGGAGGTAAAGTGGCAAACATTGTTTAGGGCAGAACCAAATAAAATTCATTAATCAAACTTGAAGATGGTCCAATTTGTTTTCTGGTTTAGACCGGATAATTGATCCAACCAATCCGGTTCAACTTGGTAAACCAACGTGATTTTTTTGCTTGTTAAACACTATTCAAGGTCTTCAGTAGTTCAGTTCCTCTGGTCAAAAGAAGGGTGGTCCATGGATCGAATATGGTCATGATCGCTATAGCCCATCTAGTGATCAATCGGACGGCGAAGAATCCAGATCTACAACATCCTTCCCCGAGATATTCAATTTCTCGGTAGACAAAAGACGAGAAAAGGGCCAAAACAAGCGGCTCGTCGGAAGAGCGGGACTGCGGCCAGCGGGAGCTTCCTGGGGGTGTGTTTGGAGTCACGAGGGCATTTACGACGCGAGACCAGAAATAAATGCCCCCGCTTTTTTTCTCTTTTAATTAATTAAAGAAAAAGAAAAGAATTAACTACGAAATCTCTCCCTGGGGAAAAAATATAGATCGTACGGTATGGCTTTTGGCTTAGCTGGAATTAGCGGAGGACAGCTGGCATGTACGACGGCGGATACGCAGCTACCGTCGCCGTTCGTCTGTCCAAAACTGTAGCCGCGCTGTCTCCTCCTAAAACAGAAACACAAAATTTAAAAAAATAAATAAATCTCAAAAAGCTAAAGGAAATAGCTTTTAGGCTACTACCCCTACTTCCACCTCTTTGTCATTTTATGTCCTTACCTTTCTAAAAATGACAAATAGATACTCGCGAACTTTATTGGATACTAGTACACTCTCTTTTGACCATTATAACATGTGACGCACTGTACATAGAGGCTGATTTACTAAACTATCCTTCTATATCTTTCAAAACTGTAAAACTACCCCACTACCAACTTCTTATTATATATATCTAATAAAGAGTGGCCATAAATAGATAGCCAAGTCTTCTTCTTTAAGAAGAGAAAGAAAGGGTTTGATCATCACAAGTTGGGTTGCCAAAGAAAGAACTTCAATTATAGTGGACTTGGATCCGGGATTTAGGCCCATTAAAGATTTAACAAATGTTCATCTTAATTTGATACAAGTTGCATCTTTATTTTACATGTTGATTACATATTTATAATTGTAGGTATTGTCTTTTTCATTGTGAATGTTCAAGTCGTCTCATTTCACTTTCAATTATTTTTTAAAAGGAGGTGTGATCTTGTCATCCACTGTAAAAAAGCGAAGACACCCCAGGAGCCAATTTTTTTCCCAAGATTCTATCCACATAGCTTCCGCTATGATCTAAAGCCACACATCTCAAACATGTTTTATACTATTTACTTTTGAAATAATGTTTTTGTTTGAGATGTAGTTGACCCCATATAATTGAGACAAGGCTTGGGTGGTGATTCTTGTTTGGGATGTGCATTGTAAATCATATTGAAAGCTTGAATGAGGAGCAATTTCAGGCTCACTTTAAGGCCACTTAGGGTATCATAATTTGATCTAAACAAGCTTGACCTCATAGGCTTAATTTGTTTAAACTAATTAGAGAATCATTAAACTTTCCTCCCCTTGTTTGCCAACCCTATTAAGTGGGATAGGCCTCTCTACTAATTATCTTCTTAATTAATCCTATTCCATTCCATCCCAACTTAACATAATCCATAATCATCCAAAATGTGCTTCAAGTTTATCTTCAAACCCCACAATATCTACTTTCAAATAGTCAAAAGAGAAGAAAAGGAGATTCTATACTATGTAATAATGTAATAATTGATGATGTATATGTATGACATACATAAATGCATTATGGGATGCATCATATCGAACATCATCATCCTTTAAGCTCTACTTTATCTTATTCTATCCATGGATTGGGAAATTGGTGATGCTCCCATTGAAGAGGTCACATTCAGATAGTCAACAAACAACTATTCTTCTCGTCAAGGGTATTTTCCAAAGTCAATGGCAAAATCGTAATATCCAGAAATGTCGGTGGCAATTTAGTAAAGTCGCTCGTTATTAGACACAAGTCAATTTCCATGACCGCGCAATTCTTTTTACTAAATGAAAGAGACAGAGAATCGGTAACAAATCCGGAATTTCCAAATAAGATGCGGGGCAAATCAGTCATTGCGTTTCAAAGCTAGTAAACATCACTTCGCTTTCCAACACTACTTAAAAGGAAACAAAGAGCTCTCTCCCTTCCTCTCTCTCCTCTTCTTCGCCATCTGTTTATCTCTGCAACAGCAATTCTCTTGGGCATCTAGTCGAACAGTACGTCCTCACAGATTTCCGGCGAAGGTTCTCCGGGTTTGCCGCCGGAAAAAGCAATCCGTTGATATCATTTGAAGTGAAGGAGATATAAGAGGGGGAGTGGAGTGAAGGGTGGTTTTGTTGGCTGTATTGTTTCGATGGCTCGGCTGGTTTGAAGCAAGGGGAGAGCGAGAGGTGGAGATGGGGAAAGCGGGTTTTGGTTTGGCTGTGAGTTGTGCGGTAGTGTCGTGTACGATCGCTGCTATATTGGTTGGTAGACGAGTGAAGAGTCGGCGGAAGTGGAACCGAGTGGTCGGTGTATTGAGGGAATTAGAGGAGGGATGTTCGACGTCGATAGGAAGATTGAGGCAGGTCGTTGATGCTATGGCTGTTGAGATGCACGCTGGGTTGGCATCCGAAGGCGGGAGCAAGCTTAAGATGCTCCTTACTTTCGTCGACAATCTTCCCAACGGGTAGTAAAACTTTCTCTGCTTTTCCTTTCCTGGGTTTGCCTTGCTTTGAGGATTTATGGGTTTTATTATGAACATGCCGACGATTGATTGAATGGTCTATGCCTCCGTCCCTCTCTCTGTTCGGTAGTTTCTGAAGTTTTCATTTTTTTTGGGTTCTTCTTCCCTTTATTTTATTTTATTGATGTTTCCTTGAGAGGAGGCGGTTTGTCTCTTTTGTTATTTCTGTTGTGGTTTTATCTTCTTTCGGTCTTGCGGCCCTTTCTATTGATGTTGATACCAGTCTTCTTTTTTTGTAGGATTCATGGTGTTATCATCTATTTTGTTTATTTATTTATTTTATTTTTCTTGAGTTGTCTTGACTTCGACATTGGAATGAATCGTTTTATGGTTTTATTTATTTTTTATGTCGTTGGAATTCTTTTCTAGTTTTCCTGTTTAAGAGTTATTTGAACAGTAATTTGAATTGTGTTCTTTGCCATTTCCTTATTGCTGTAATGTAAAGTAAACTATTTTACAAATTGGTACGGTGTTGCCTGGAAATAGCAATTTCGGATTTGGTTTAGGTTTGCTTGTTCATTGCTTCTCTATTTTTTGTTCTTAACATTACTTCACTGTTTCATTTCTTTATAGTGCAATTGCTTCTTGGAAAACCGCTTCCCATTATTCTTTTTCTCCCCTTGAAACGAGAAAGAATTTGGTTTTCTTCTTTCATTGCATTTTCATTTGCTCAAGTTCGTAAGAGATATTCTATGTTTTAGACCGCCCAAATGCAGTAAAATGTGAAAGGAAAGATGGGTTTGTAAGCCTCTATATCTATGTATTTTTGGATTGATTTCTTGCCTACATTTTAGTTGAAAATCTTGGGTATAGCTGAACCATTTAAACCACTTTCCCCTTTCGATTGTTTGGTAATGTAGCAATTCAGGATTATTATACTTTTGTATTTTTGCCTTGATTGATTGGTTCTTTTCTCCAGGAACGAGAAAGGAACTTACTATGCACTTGATCTTGGAGGAACCAATTTTAGAGTCTTGCGGGTTCAGCTAGGGGGTAAAAATTCATTGATATTAGGGCATGAAGTGGAACGGCAACCCATTCCCGAGCATTTGATGACAAGTACAAGCGAGGTAGCAACCCTCTTCCTCCATCCATCCATACACACACAGGAGGACAAAAAATCAGGCCTGACCTTTTGTTTCATTGGAATTGAAATCTTACCATGTTATTCCATGACATTGTGTATTCTGGAGCAATATAAATTCATGCGTATCTTGGATGCAGGATCTTTTTGATTTTATTGCCTCAACATTAGAAAAGTTTGTTGAAAAAGAAGGTAATGGCTATATTGTTCCGCTAGACAGAAGGAGGGAGCTTGGTTTTACATTTTCCTTTCCTGTTAAACAAACATCTGTCTCATCGGGCATTCTTATCAAGTGGACAAAAGGATTTTCCATTGAAGACATGGTAAGTGGGATGGTCCTCTAGAGAACAAATTCCTGGTTTACATCAAATAGTTTTTTTATCCTCTTTTCTTTTTAGACTGAAGTTTTTTTTTTTTTTTTTTACAAAATGCATTGAAAGCATCTCATACATTTCTATAGATATTGAATACACTGATTATTTTATTTATGCTCAATAGAATCATGAGAAGATCTTGACCAATACAAACACGTAACATTCAGTATCATTATGGGACTTCCAATCTTCTTTGTATGGTAAAATGTACCATTTTCTAACTATTAGTAGTAAGAATGCCATGGTATGTTTCTCCGATACATAATTTCAAGATTTATGTTGATTGTTAATGGGATATCATATCATATATCCTAGCTTTTAAGATTATAGTGACAAGAAGCAAATTATGTAGATTGATTAGGGCAAAATGATGGTCAAGGAAATTAACAAAAAATGCCTAGTTAAGAGAGATTACATATGGGACTAAGAAGAGAGGTTGCATGATGAACCAAGTTGTTTAATGGCATCAAAAAGACCACTGCTCGAGATTAGGTATGGTTGAACCAGTTGTAGAAGTAGAACATAGAAGAAAGATGTATATAGTTTGGACTTTGATGTCATATACTGATCAAAAGGAAAAAAAACTTTTATCTCATAAAATATCCCATAAATTCTTGGTTAGCTTTGATAATGCAAGTAGTGTGAAGATAGAGGAACTCAATTACCTTTTTCATCTCCTTGGTGAGGTTTAAATCTTTTTTTTTATCAGCAATAAGAAAAAGGAATTCATTCTTTAAAGATTAAATATTTTAAAGTTGTTGTGAATGCAATGGTAAGACCATGAGAGCATAGTCATCACTATTTGACCCCACCACACCCTATTTAACCCCTTAGTTTGCTACACCATTAGCCAAACATTTGGTTGTTCTTTGTAGCCAATTAACTTGTATCTGCATGTCTTTTGAAAGCCACTTAACCGCTGAATTCATTTATGAGATTTCACACCACATTCTTTTCCTTCATTAACCAACTGTCTACCACGTAAAAGTTACTTTCAATCATCAACCTCTCAACTCCTATTTCTTTGGTGTTGTGCACCTCAAAACGCTACTGCCATAATCTTTTACCCTTACCAGTGATTTAAGAGGCACGCCTCAGGCGCGCTTAGGCGCACAGGCAAGGCGCATTTTAGGGTGGGCACCTTGCCCAGGTCCTAGGCGCAACCCTTTCATAAGGTGTGTGCCTTTTGAAACTTTGACGCTTTTTTGCTTTTTCATTTTTGTCTCTAGCAACTGGGCCGAGGGCTTTGCCCCCGGACCCCCGTGCCACGCCCCTCGAGGCAAGCTTGAACAAGTTCACTCTAGGTCTTAAATTCTTAGTTCTCACACAAAAAATAATGATTTTATGGTTCTAATTGCTTTTTAAGAAGACATTCTATTAGTATGAATGAATGAACAACATTACTAATGTGGACTTGTTTGGGCTTGCCTCGAGGGTTGTGGTACAAAGGCCTCTCGTAGAAACAGGAATGTAACATGTTTTACATCACATTAGCTACTTGAAGTAACGAAATAGAGAAAAAAAAAGAAATTGTGGGTTTTATATGCTTGAAAATGTTTTATATATTTGATTTTATTTTTAAGTTCTCATTTGGATATGCTTTACATGTTATATTTATGTATTGTAATATTAGATAATAGGTTCTTTAGAACATTTATTTTAAATTTAAAGTTTATCTTTTATTAATATTATGTTTAATAATTTTTTGCATTTTTTTTTTGAATTTTTAGCCTTCTTTTATTTTTGCGCCTTGCTTAAAAAGGCGCACGCCTCACCTTGCGCCTTGCAATTTTAAAACACTGACCCTTACTGGGTCACCTTCTCCTTCATTGTTGTCCCTTAATACTCCCCATTTCCACAAGGCCTAGGATTCCCATGCTACTTACATCAAAATTCAATTCTAGCTACTCATTATCAGGAGGTGTCCAATCCTTTTTTACTTTGTTTTTTTATATGAGGACCTTGCTACTGCACCCAATTTCTGATAATATCATCCGTTGTGAAATTTGAAAAGAGTTCCCTTGCCTTTACCCAATGTATTACTTTTGGAGTGATGGTATCAACTAATATCTCCCTATTTCTATCCCTTCATTTTGGACACCTCATCATATGCATGTCAAACAACCTGTCCAAGCTAACAGGAGAGTTGCACTTGCAAACTAAAAGAGTAAAGAACCATTCCCAAATACAACAAATGAATGGACAGGAGGTTAAGAGGTGATAGGCAGCCATTCAATCTACACATGATACACTAGCTGGGGGACAACTATCAGTAAGCTCTTTTCCTTTGTAAAATATTTTTTTTATCAGTTTTTCCTTTGTGGAAGATTACATGAATTAATGCTTCCATGGAAGACTTCCCAACAAAAAGCACTGATTTTTGGAGGAATAAGAACACACCACACTTCATTCACAGGAAAGGAAAAAGAAGGATTGGCCACCAAGGAATTGAAGAAAACTTGCAAGAGAAGCTACCAACAGGGTTAGGAGCCCATAAATGGCAATACTGAATAGGGAAATCCAGAACCACCTCCTCTAACAAATTCAAAAGGTTAGACACAAGGGAGATTTCAGGTTCTCTAAGGTTCCTCCTAAACCCCAAATTCCAAAGCACTTTGGAGGATGAGGAAGGTGAAATGAATTCAGGAAGACATTTCTCTGAGGTTGGACAAAGCATAAAGAGATGGGAACAAATCCTTTAAAGGAGATTCCTGAATCCAAAGATCTTCCCAAAATTTTCTTATTATTGGAGGACAAGTCATACCTGAATGATTGAGAAACGAAGGAAGAGGTCTATTGAACAAAAAAAAAAACAAAGGAAGAAGTCTGCATCTAAGACATTTCTCTGAGGTTGGACAAAGCATTAAACGACGGGAACAAATCCTCTAAAGGAGATTCCTGAATCCAAAGATCTTCCCAAAATTTTCTTATTATTGGAGGACAAGTCATACCTGAATGATTGAGAAACAAAGGAAGAGGTCTATTGATCAAGAAAAAAAAAACAAAGGAAGAAGTCTGCATCTTCCCTCACCAATGTTGCATGGATACGGACAAAGGAGTTGGAATCTGATGTGTGTTCAAGTTTTTAACTTGGAAAGATGAGAAAATATGGATTAGTGGTCATGTCTATGGAAAAGTACATACTATTAAAATAGTTATACTGTCTTTTTGAATTCTAACATTATATACCTGCACAAATTGTTTCCTTTACTATTAGGTAATGTCTCAGACACGCTCAAACTCATACAGTAGTTTCCCATTTATGTAAAATAAGCTAAGAGATAAAAAAGGAAATGTTACATAGAAGTGTCTTCAAGAATCTGTAGTGTGTCTGAGACCAATTTTGTCATCCATTTAGGAGAGTCTGCAATATTGTCCTTCACACTCCAGTCTAGGCACTCGTATCTCTCCAAATCCTGCCTATATCCCTTCCACCAATCTTTCTTCAGTGCTAATGTCTAACCCTGCTAACTGGATTTTCCTAGAAGAATGTCTTTCATTATCTTGTTTTCCCTTGGGATCCAATTTCTTCGTGTGAATCAGATTTTGGGAAGATTAACATGTGCTATACTCCAGAAGAAATTCCAATACAGATACACAACCCCAAGATTCTCTTAGGTTTGTAACGATGCCAAGTCAAGCAATAACCTCCTAGTGTATTGCTTACTGAGACAAAGTTTATGACATTTCATGGGTCTTGTGGAGCTTGAGTGGTTTTTCTTTGGTTATAATTATTGATATGCTTAGATATTATAAATCCTTGGACCTTGGAGAGAGGGACAACTACATTGGAAAGCTATTGTTCACATTGTTATTTTGTTACATGGGTTTGTGAGAGGGAAGAAACAATCATATTTTTAAGTGAGAGATCATTATCATTGCACTCTTATTTATAGAAGTCCATGAAAGAGTTTGAAGGGTTGACTTGAAAGTGAATGAGCTTTCTTTTGTAAGGCTGTTGACTTGTTGAATTGAGACTTAATTGTGCAATGGGATTATAGAGTGGTTATAGGGTCAATGGCATCATTGGCTGCTAGTTGTGATGTTTTAAAAATGAGAAGAACAACTGAGAACAAGTGATTTTCCTAGGGACTATAGCATAAGGAGAAGATTGACCTGCTCTTAGAAGACAAATGGTATTGGAAGTGGAATCCAGATGGGGAATTTTCTGTCAAATCCCTGGCCTCTAAGCTTTGCTGATTGGGTCTCACTGATTTTCCAACTACTCAGATTTGGAACCCTATAAGCCCATAAAAATCCAACTTTTTGATTTGGACGATGGCCCTTGGCAAATGTCTTTCCAGATCTAATATTTTTTATTTTTTGATGAATGATAATAAATTTATTAATTCAGAAGCAGATTTAGAGTGAGTTCATACAACATCCCAAGGAGAGGCACGAGCTGCAGCCCCTCCTTGAATCTTACAAGTAAACTAGGAAAGAAAAGCAAGAATCACAACTGAGCCCAAAACAATTCTTCCCTATTTACCCGTTGCTTGGCTAACAGATCCGACAAAGTATTTGTGATCTCTCCACCCACTATACACTGACCAACATATTCCTTGTCAACCAACTAAATTTCTTCACTTCATTCTTGTAACGCCACATAGCCTCTTCAGGATTTTTCAACCAACCCACCACCAATTTGGAATCCTCCTCGATTGTTAGGTGTTGTACCCCCTTCTGGTTTGCAAATTGCACCTCTTGTACAACAGCTAATAGTTCTGCCTTGATGGAGTCCCCAATTCCTAAGGGACCTAAGTAGAGCAACAAAATCTCTCCCTTCTCATTTCTCAAAGCACTTCCCATTCCCGATAATCCTGGATTACCCATGCTACTTCCATCAAAGTTCAAAGTGAGCCTTCGGATGGAGGAGACTAGCTTGTAATTGATTTGTCCTTTAGGGATGAACACCTCGCTACTGCTGACCAATTTCTTCAAAGGTCATT